GAGTTTTATGTTGCTTTTTTATAACACTAAGGTGGCATACAAGCATACGGCCCTCCTGATGGTAAGCGATTACCGTAGTCTATGAACGCCTGCTATATCAGGGGCAGTACACGCGTGTTGCCGATTCTGAAGAAACCTCTTTATCCCTTTTTTTTAAGAATTGCATGTTGTAATTGTTTTTTTTTAATGGATGATGAGGATGGATGGGACAGTGTGACCCTTATTATTATTAAGTGTGACAACTACTCCCTTTGAGTAAATTTAACCCTCTCAATATTTTTTTTAAATTGGACACATTGCGTTAACAAATTATTCAGGTACGTACCATTGCTGGGAAAAGGAGTATCAAAATAAATTGTGTTTTTTTTTACAATTTCGATTGATTTTTCGATTGCTTGGGTACCTCTGTCCCATTCGTGTTTCTACCGTGAAGCAGTTGTGCTTGCATCGCTGAATTTCGGTTTGAAGGGTGGGATATGGCGTGAATTTACTGGGTACGGAGGAATAACACCTGAGTCCTCAGGAATGGCAACGCATGAGGGGTATCATGGGTGAAACAGTATACTCTGTTATGTCCATGGTACTGTTCATGTCTATAGGCGACGGTTACTACTTCCATCATGTAGGCCTTCAACTTGTTTGCCATTCTAAGTTGCATAAAAAAAAAAAGTGAGAGTAAACCTTCTTAAAAAAATACTTTAGATGTTTGTTACACAATCACGCTTAAACCGCTGAACAGAATTGAATAAAATTTTTACACACGGCTAGATTCGTGTGAATAACTTCACGGTACACAGCTAGTAAAATTATAAAAATTCATTCCAAACCACATTAGCTACTGATTACGGAGAATCTATAACTTTACGATTGTGCCACAAAAGATTCCGGGACCCTTGCAGGGAGGCTCGAGAAATAGGGACACGGCCCTTAGCGCCCGGCAGCTGGTCGGGTTCAATGAACTTTGCGCTAATTCTGCCACTGAATATGTACCTACCTATTAAATTTACATCTACAACAAATTCCTTACTCTGTCTGATAACATTACGATATCGACTGGAGTAGATATTAACATAAGTATAGTATTCTTAAGGTATTACGTATTTAATTTATTTACATTTGATTGCACCATTTATAAATAATAATAAATACAGTAAATATTAATGAGAAGTGATACAAAACGGGCTGATCGCTAAGCAATCTCTTCCAGACAACTTTTGGGTAGAGAACATTGAGAAAAAGACAAAGGGTTGCATATTCAGGTAGCGAACTATTATATAGATACTACTATATATATATATATATATATATATATATATATATATATATATATATATATATATATATATAATTATATATATTCTTATTAATATCGTAAAAGAGAAAAACAATTATTGTGTCCCATAAAAAAACTCTTCAATTGTGACAAAACCAATTATTTTGATTTAAAAATTAAACTACTGAATCGATTTTGATAAAATTAAAATCTGTGTGACCAATCTGTAAGTATGTCCTTTCAAATAAAAAAATGAATTTTTCAAATCGGTTTACAACTGACGGAGTTATGGGGTAACAAACATAAAGAAACACAGAACCGAATTGGGAACTTCCTTCTTTATGAACTTCTTCCTTCTTTCCTTCCTTATTTATTTGTTACTAACCTTTTAGGGTCTTAACAGCTCAATTAGTACCTATGAAATTTAGTATAGGAACAAGTAGTAACTATTTGGGATAAAAATAGACATCTGCTACATCTTACCACGATCAGTCTATATATTCCAGTCACACGGAAGATGTCTTAGCTTAAAACTAATAATATTATAAATATTATATGACAGTATGTTTGTTTGTTTCTTTGCCCGGAATCCGCGGACAAAGTCAAAGATAAAAAATCCTTATAAATTTTATAAATGTGAAAGTGAAGTATTGTGTTAACTTTTTTTTTAATAGATGATAATGTAACGATAACCCCGCCTGCGCTAACAGTATACGCTGACGGGGCACCAGTGAGGGATGATAGGTGAGACTGAACAGACGGATCAGTTAGCCCATTGTGATGAATAAACTTGGAATTCAACTTGATGGTTTCCAGGGGAAGACCACGTGGAGGTGGACCTGACAAGGTATATTGCTAGCAATAGGACTGGTAGTCCGCGTTACTAACAATCCCTTTCCCATCCTTTTTTGTTATCTTACAGCGCTTTAATAATTTAACCAATCAGTATAAAATTTGGTATACAAATAATATTTGAGATGGAAAAGGCAATAGGCTACCTTTTATCCTGATCAGTAAATATACCTTGGATACGCGGGCGAAGCAGCGTGTAAATGTTAGTAATTTGTAACATAAACACATACCTTTCCCATGACCCATTTCGCAAATTTCCCAAAGAAACGTTCCCATCGACAAAACGCCCCGTTTCCTATACGAATTCGCGGTGTAGTTTTATGCACATTGCATTGACCCGAAGGTAGTGCATTGTCTCGCCCTTCCCTCAGGGCCAGACCCTTGGAACACATCTGTCGTTGCAACGGGCATTCAATGCGACTCCTTAAGACGTTATTTTTTTTTTTCGACGGTTGGAGTTTAAATCGAATAATAGAGTGGGTGCAATGTTGATTATATTGATTTATTTATGGCATTAAAGGACTCGCTCGGCCTTTGTATGTATAAAGATATTATAATTTATTATTTTATTTGTTTACCTACTGCACAGAATTGCAATAAAATTCTATTCTGTGCCTACTAACTCTTGGGATTTATTTTAGTATCAAATTAAAATTTATTATTAATTCTAATTGAAGAGAAATCTTTATGTATGTATCTCTATCAGCCATTAACTGTCCACTGCTGGATATAGGCCTCCCCCATAAGAGGGGGTTTACCAGTAGTTGCCACGCTTGGCAGGCGACTTGGCAATCGTATTTAGCCTTTAGTGATGTTTTAAGAGGGACGTTGCTATCCGTCCCTTGGAAATTAAGTTCCCTAATTTGCCTCTTACGTCACTTATAGGAAAGGCAGGGTTGGTTTTTATATACCGGGACCACATGGCAATTTGTGTCTATTCTGTACCTCTATAGAATATAGAATAATTATGTAACTTAAAAGAATAAACAAGCCAACAGTCCATTTGATGGAAAGTAGTAACCGTCGCCTATAGACATAAAAGAATTATGGGCCTACGAATATTATGGAATACAAAAGAAATATTTCTTAGAATTTTTGTTTGTATGCCCGTTTATAAGTGTGTTTATTAAGGCACCATGTAAAAACTATTGCATTAAATTTTCACATTTGTATTCCAGAATATCTAACTTGAAATCTGGCGTATCTGCTATATTTTTATATCTATGTCATCTAGTTATTTCATTTGTATATCTACTTCCAAAATCTACTTGCAAGAAATCATGAACATAAGCTAACTTTAGCAGAGACAGGATTATGTACAAAAGCCCTTTGCTTGTATATCTCTGTCCCATTCGTTTTACCTGGCGTAAAGCAGTTGTGTTTGCATGGCTGTGTTTCGGTTTGAAGGGTGGGATATCGCAATGAAATTACAGGGTACAGAGGAATAACACCTCAGTCTTCAGGGATTGCAACGCATGGGAGGACGTCATAGGCGAAACAGAAAGGCGACGGTTACCACTTTCCATTAGGTGGGCCGTCAGCTTGTTTGCCATTCTAAGTTGCATAAAAAAATAATACATAAAATATCTGTTTTAAAATATTATTACTTTACATAATTACTTGTTAAATGTACATAAGTACAAAATTTACTAAACAATTCAATCTTTGCATAATGCACAAAAACACATTTTTCTTCATACATAAATACGTTCATACAAATAATAGAACCATATAAAAAGTTGGTATTGTTAATACTTATATCTTATCCATTCATGTATTACTTCGGTTCTCACTTTTTGAATAGATTTTTTTTTAAATGGATGATAATAGAATGGTAACACCACCTGCGCTGTAGGTATACGCTGGCGGGGGCATCAGTGAGGGATGATAGGTGAAAATGAAAGCAGGCCAGTTAGTCCAAACGAATATATCAAGAACAAATCACGACTGTCAACCTGTCAGGGTATATTGTTACAATATAGGCTCAAGTCTCTGTTACTATTAATCCCTTTCCTCCCATTTTTGAATAGATATTGTGCATATATAAATTTGTAAATGAATCAAAGACTAGAGAAGGTATTAGGCACAATGTTTTTAAGAGAAATAACAGTAAAGCTAATAATAATTATGTAATTGTATACAAAATTGTCTCTTTTGTTTTTCTGTTTGTTTATGATGATATCTATTCGTTTTTAGCGAATTTTTTATTCTACTCTATTCTATGATAGAAGGTAATGAATTTACTGCTGCATATATGTTTCTTTTTATTGTCATGACGATTTTTTATAGAACAAAAATAAAAAGATTTATAGGATGGAACTCCATCTGCGCTGTCGTGACGAATTCATCGGAAATGAACTGAAATGATTTCACGCTTAACAAAATCTTAAATCGTACTGTAGTATATATTTTACATGGACTACATACATATCGCTAAATTTCTTGTTTTATGCTTATTGGATATTGTTTTACAAATTGCAATCAACTAGTAATAAACATTATGTAGTTTTAAAAACTGTTACTGTTTAATTTTATGCCATCATAAATTTTGTAAAATATAACAGAGTTTAAAAATAAAATTACATAAATTACGAAAGTATGTGTGAAATATTTATTTAATGTATTTTTTTTTATACAGCGCCATCTCGCGAAAATATTAAGCACTTGCGTTGCCTCTATACTGAATAATCTAGTTCGCTATAATCTGGCTTCATTATTAGTACAGTTGTTTTCAAATTTGGAATTATTTATAGAATGATTTAAGACAATATCACTTTTTTACTTAGTTTTGTCGCTTATTATTATTATTATTTATAAGTAATAAAATGTGTAAAAAAAATGTTGTCAATGTCAACTGTCATTCAAAGTTGACACGTAATAAGAAATCATGTTGTCATATCTAACTGTCAAAAAATAGTAATATGCTAAAATGGCACGTCAACAACAAGATGTGGATGAACTTTTCGATGTTAAAAATTCTTTCTATGTTGGAAATTACCAACAGGCCATCAACGAAGCGTTGAGTATTAACGTAAGTGAAACCATATCAGTCATTTTCAGTAAAGAAAAGTACTTGTAACGTTATATTATTATTACATTTTAATAATGTTATGAATGAGCAATGTTTTCATACTTAGCATTTTTACACAATAATTCTATTGTATTTCATAATTTATATGCGTTGATAACATTAATGCCACTTTTATTGTCTGACACAACAATATAATAGTATTGCTTCATAGATATATATTAAGTACATCTCTTGCAGCCTTCTACACCCCTAATAACTCTTGAACGCGATGCCTACCTGTTCCGTTCGTATATCGCTCAAGGCAACCACAGGATGGTGTTGCAAGAGTTGAAAACAGCAGATCCCATGCTTCAGCCATTGAAGAGTTTGGTGGAATATCTCGCACCTGATGCAAATAGACCAGCTATTGTCGCAGATATTGATGCAAGGGTATGATTTGTTTGATTACTATGGTGATGTTCAAGATAGTGTGATAGATTCCTTTATTGTTATTATTTAGCTGAAATTACTATAGTTTTTATCTGTGAAAGCAGTATAATTTGATTTGCACTACTGACCACCACTAGTAAAAGATCTATTACTTTCCTTATTGTTCTAGAACTAATAGTTTCTTTTAAAATTTCCCCTCCTATTTATTCTGCATCACTACAGTTACCTCTGTTGCATGCAACATGATTACTAGTTTGGCAGTTAATAATTAATTCTCAATATGTATGTTTGTGATTTGAATTAAAAATTCATTAAATAGAAAAACTAATGGGACTGAAAAACGGGCGGCAAAAGAAATTCAGCAAGGCCTTAGTCCATGATTCAAACTTTTGATGAAAATATAAAAACATTTGACATTAACTCTTGTCAGTACTCAATCTCTTGTCGTTATTGGAGTCTGGATCAATAACATTCATTAATTCCATGTTATAAGTGAGTGGGTCAAAGCATATAAATGAAAAAAAAGAAGGATGAAGATTCTGAGTAATAGGGACCAACAACTCAAGTGCTAATTCTTAATTTACACTATCAGGTCAACTTCCATAATCCCAGTCAAGGTCTCCTTGGAAAGCATCCTGTTGAATTCCAGGTGTATTTATCATAATGGGCTACCTGACCCATCGTCCCAAACTGGTAGCACGCTGGGGGGAAGGGATTATTAGTAATGCAAGCTATCAGTTCCATTGGTAGCAATATACCCTGTCAGGTCAACCTCCACACGGTTCACCCTGGAAACCATCGTGGCTAATTCTAATTGAATTCGTCAGGATGGACTAACTGGCCTGTTTTCAATCTCATCAATCAACTTCACTGGTGCTCCGCCAGCATATCCCGTTAGCGCAGGCAGGGTTACCATACCATTTTCACCCATCAAAAAAAAAACTGGTAGCACGCCAGAATATGTCATTAGCACAGATAGGGCTACTGTTTCATTATGATCCTTTTAAAAAATACATTCAAACACACACATACATTTCTTTTTCCAGGTGGCGAAGGGAACAGAACTTACAAATGAAATCTTTTTGTTGGTAGCAGCAACAATTTATTATCACGAAGACAATTATGAAGCTGCCTTAAAGTAAGTTATAATGAAAGTGAAATTATATATTTTGGAATCTTCAATTTGTATGAAATAAATGTAAAATTATTTGTCTACATATTTTTATATTTATTAATAAAGCTAATTATATTGAGTAAAGCATTCAGAAGATGAAATTAAACTTATAGCCTCAAGGTGCATAATTTAGAAATGATTAGACAAAAAATTAAAAATATAATACATATAGTATGGAATATGGTAAAAAAATTGTAGTATTTTGAGGCATAACATCTTAGTTCTGGCAACATGTGAAGGGTATCATGGGCTACACAGTATACTCTGTTATGTTCATACTGCAGTTCATGTATTTGGGTGACAGTTACCACTTTCCATTAGGTGGACCATCAGCTTGTTATAAAAAGAAAGAAATATCTTTATTCAAGTAAACTTGCACTTAAACATTTTTAAATAGTCATCTTTTTTAATATTTGCCATTTTATATGTTATGGTACTTGTATTTTTTCCAGGATTCTCCATGGCACTGAGTCTCTGGAACTCCGTGCGTTCACCCTGCAGTGCCTGCTGGCTATGAACAGGCCTGATCTGGCGCGCAAGCAGCTCAAGCTGTTGCAGGCTATTGAAGATGACGGCACTCTGACGCAGCTGGCACAGGCCTGGCTCAACTTGTCACAGGTATTACTGACATCCTGTTAATGTTACAAATGTAAAAGTTTGTATGAATGAACTGATGGATGTTTGCTTTTTTTTGTCTTTTTTTATTTCATGCATAAACAATTGAATGGATTTAAATCAAGTTTGGTATATGAACAGGTTATATACTAATTTAGAACATATAATACCTTACATATTGGTTCGCATGAGTAAGGCCACGGGGTACAGCTAGTAAAATATATCTTCACTTGCTATTTTGTATTATTTATTTATTTAACTCTTTATTGCGCCATAAATAAAAATATACAATGACAAGTGAATAATTCAAATGAAATACAGTAATATAAATACAGATTGAAATATACACATAAAGGTACAAAAGGCGGTCTTATCGCTAGGGCAATCTCTTACTGACAACCTTTAGTTAAGGGAGAACAGATAGAAAAGGGCAGGTGGCGCAAGAGTGAATTAATAATTTTCGTGCATAAAATACAAAAACATGTAATGCACAAAAATATCAAATACATATAATTTATTAAACTACTTTATTACATTTTTTCAAATAATTATGTTTTATTGACCAATAATTTTTTTTTTTATTTTTATACAACTTAGAATGGCAAACAAGCTGATGGCCCACCTGATGGAAAGTGGTAACCGTCGTCTATAGACATGAGCAGTACCATGGACATAATAGAGTATACTGTTTCGCCCATGATACCCCCCATGCGTTGCCATTCCTGAGGACTCAGGTGTTTTTCCTCTGTACCCATCTCATATAGTATAAGTAGTTGGAGTAGTATACAACAACAAGAGAAATGAACAAATTCATTTTTACATTAATAATATTACTAGCTATTCCCCGCGGGTTTGCCCGCAAGCATCAATGTTTAAATTATCCTTTGTATTAATTTAGGATATAAACCTACACATATGCCAAATTTCATACAATTCTGTTCAGTAGTTTTTGCATGAATAACAAACGTTGATCTGTCTACCAATCTTATCGTTACAAAATTTCACATTTATTATGTTAATAAGGATTATGACTTGATACAAAAACTCTAAAGCAAATATCCTACCCTTAAGGGATGAATATTCATTAAAAAAAAAAAATATTCTGTACATTTATATTGTTTTCTAGAAGTTTTTATTTAAATCACTGGAATTCACTTAAATTATATTTATAGGAATCGCTAAAATTCCAACTTTTACATTCCCCATAATAGTCATTTGTATGACCACACCATGGTTCTCAGGAATGGCAACACATAAGAGGTATCTTCTGTAATATCTAAGGGGCTGCTCATGTCTATAGGCGATTTCCACTATATACCACTTTCTATGTCAAGAACCATAAGCTTGCTTGTCACTTTTGAATCTTATTTAAAAATCATAATGTCTCATATACAGGGTGGTCCAGGCGTGCAGGATGCCCACTACAGCGTCATGGAACTGTCGGAGCGTTTGGGTGCGCTGGGCGCTGGACCGGCTGCCGTCGGCGCCGCCGCCGCCGCCTCTAGAGGTAACTTGTAACCTTAGATTATATAGATAGTTTCCATACAAATGCTTCGAGAAAAGCAGGTCAGCTTTTACATACAATTTTACGTGGTAAATAAATGAGTGATTCCTTTATAACTTCTATATTTATTTTATCTTTTAAATTCTGCACCTTTTTAATGTGCAAAAACTAATTTTATTTATTAAATAATCAAATATAGATACGTCAAGATACATTGTGTACGTAAGTATGCCTAGATGGTACGTACAATGCGTTTTCAGAGATGTTTTCTTTCATGAACACTCAGGCTATAGAATGAGCTTTCTGCCTTTGGGAAAACCCAAGAGACTACAGCATGGGCTTTTTCAAAAGGGGGGGGGGGGTAAAGAGGTTTCTTCAGGGTCGGCAACGCGTGAGTAATACCGCTGGTATTGCAGACGTTCATAGGCTATGATAACCGCTTACCATCAGGTGGGCCGTATGCTAGTTTGCCACCTCAGTGATATACAAAAAAGTATAAAGAACATTAATAAAAAAAACGAGTCTGCTAATTTGACAATTAGCTGATAAAAAGTTGTCCCGTTTTTGAAAGTCCATGTTTTATCTATATATATATATATATATATATAGCTGTTTAACACACCGCCTTCCAATAGTCTCTAGTTCGATTCCCGTATAAAAAAAAAAAAACATTATTATTCATGTGCACATCTGTTTGTATTTGTCTGGATGTTTACTATGTGTAACACGCATGTATGTATAGAAAAAGTATTTTAACTATTTTTACGGTCCCATGTGTCGCCGTGTGGTCCCGGCGTAGAATAAACCACCCCTTCCTTTCCCGTGGGTGTCGTAAGAGGTGACTAAGGGAGGGCGAGGGATGGGCAGCAGCGTCCCTCTTTAAACATCTCCAAAGCCTAACTGCAGTTGCCAACCCACCTGCTAAACTTGGTAATTACAGGCAAAACCCCAAGAGGGAGGCTTATGTTCAGCAGTGGATATTTAAAGGCTGATATGTACCCATACCTGTGTCTAATTTGCTCGATATTGTTTGATAATTACATCAATATCTACTAAAACTTTTTAAGTACTCAGCTAAACCGCTTTTGCGCCATCTACCGAATGAATGACTCAGTTGTAAATGCCTCCTCTCAGATTTTTACAGTAATCAGTGTAGTGTTTTAGTTTGTACTAAATAAAGATACTTTATTGATTATTAGAAAAAAAAAATTCAAAATTTTCACTGATTTCTTAGTGTGTTGTAATTATTATATTTTTTTTATACAACTTAGAATGGCAAACAAGCTGACGGCCCACCTGATGGAAAGTGGTAACCGTCGCCTATAGACATGAGCAGTACCATGGACATAACAGAGTATACTGTTTCGCCCATGATACCCCCCATGCGTTGCCATTCCTGAGGGCTCAGGTGTTATTCCTCCGTACCCAGTAAATTCACGCCATATCCCACCCTTCAAACCGAAATACAGCCATGCAAACTCCACTGCTTTACGGTTGAAACACGAATGGGACAGAGGTACGCAAGCAATCGACTTTTGTACAAAATCTCCCTCTATAAATGTATTTGCATTAAATAGGGTAGGTATCGGTGGTCTTTTATTACATAGAGGTTCATGCCTATTTAACCATTACAGAATAGCATGCAAATGACCCATTTTGATAGGAACTGATTAATTTATGCATCGACAACTATATTAGATATTTATGTATTCTTTTTTGAAAAATTCGTCTACAGAGTTGTGCCTACATGTAATATTAAATGCACAATGATTATTCATAATGCCAAAGCGAACTTTGCACTGTTCCCCAATTTGTAAGTGACCTAAATTAATCAACGTAACTTGAACGTTTTATCTTATACACACTCGCTATACTGTGCTCTGTGCTAGCCAGTCTATTCAATATACAAGTTTACATTTTATATCTTTAATTATTCTCGTTATTTACCACCTTCCATGAACTGCATCGAGTCTTAACAACTTCAGCCAAAGAGTAAAAGCTTTTGCTTTTGGAAGAAAAAATAGAGAGTACCTATTTATTTGTCGATTTGTTTCAATTACTGTGTACAGGTATGTGGGAGGAAGCCGAGCAGATGTTGACAGAGGCGATGGCTCGGGTACCTCAGCAACCCGACTTGCTCCTCGGGCTGGCGGTCACGGCCACTCACAGTGGGAAACCGCCCGAGGTACGTCGCACACCTTACTGTTGAGATATGTATGCACAACTAGTTTTTACCCGTGACATCGTCCGCGTGAAGGATATCTTGATGGACTTGGATAAGAAAGAAAGAAAGAAACTTTATTCTACTATTCTACAGAAATATGCGACTACACCCACACAGGGGTTAAAAAAATTCATATATTAATAATTATAACAACGAAACTACAAACAATATTTATATGTATGTAAAAATGAATATAAAATTAAAAAGGAAAAAAAAAAGTTCGTATTATAACAGTTTCATCCAAAATAAGTGTGTGTGTGCGTGCGTCGCAATACCTGCAAAATGAGGTCCGTGCTCAGCATTATGCTGTAGTGTCAGGGACACTGCAGCGCTGATTTTCAGCACGAGCCTCGCCAACCCGCGGGGTCCTATGATAAGAAGTATCCTATGGCCTTCTCCATTCGAAATACTAAGTGATGATTCCAAGTACATGATGATTGGTTTAGTTAAGTCGCTGAGAGGTAACAAACAAACTTATTTTTATATTCACACACTTTTCACATTTACTCATTTCACATATAATAAACCCATCCCTTATATTACATTTTCTTAAATATGTCCCATGTAAAGACATTGTCTAGTTACAATTTTATTACATTCATCACCATGATTATCATCATATTAGCCGTTATCTGTCCACTGCTGAATACGGGCCTAAAAGGGGGGGGGGGGAGGGGGTTGCCAGTAGTTGCCACGCTTGACAGGCAGCCGCAGCTAGGCTTTGATGATGTGTTAGGAGGGACGCTGCTGCCCATCCCTCGATCACTAAGTTCCTTTGGTCGCCTCATACGACACTCCGGGGAAGAAATGGACGGCCTTCTATGCTGGGACTACATAAAATAAAATATATGAAATATATTTAATAATGATATTTCAGGTGTCTTCCCGTTACATGGCCCAACTGCTGGACAGCCACCCTGAGCATCCATTTACCAAGGAGTACAATGCCAAGTCCAACGAGTTCAAGCGGCTCACGGCCCAGTACCAGCCCTCCGTGGCGAGTTAAACCTTACGCAGTCGTAACAGAGTCGATTGTCGCAAGTATTGTATCTACTAATTATATCTATTGAAAGTTTATATTGTAGCACGAAGTTTTATTTATCTCTATTTGGATTATTCTAACATCTTTTCAACCGACTTCAAAATGAAAGAGGTTCTCAATATTGTGTTTTTTTTTTATGTTTGTTACCTCATAACTCCATCAGTTGTAGACCGATTTGGAAATTTCTTTTTTTATCTGAAAGGATATATTAATAGATTGTTTGCATAGAAATATTATCAAAATTAGTTCAGTAGTTTAGGTTTTAAATCGAAATAATTCGTTTTGACACAATTGAAGACTTTTTTTATGGAAAACAATTATGTTATTAGTTTTTTATATACTGTGAATATAATGGAATGTTTTTTTACCAAGCAGCTAATAAATTTATGGATAAACATGTTTCAATTTGCACTTGCCTGAGAAAGAATAAGACAGTGTACATCGTTATCTCATTCTGTCTCATTGATTCGGTAGTAATAACGATTTTTATCGTTGATTGGTTTGCCAATTATCTGGAAAGACAGATTAGAATTTTAAGTAATTTTAAAATAGGGGAGTTAGTTGTCCTGTATTTATAAACTCAAAAACTCTTGCAAAAACGTACCTATCACTTTATGATCCGAGGATGTTGAATAATTTCAATGCCATTGTCTGGTCCTTTGAGTGCCGGATATAGTACAGGTATCATTATAAATAGGTAAGACAGAGATATTTTACTTTTTTTATACAACTTAGAATGGCAAACAAGCTGACGGCCCACCTGATGGAAAGTGGTAACCGTCGCCTGTAGACATGAACAGTACCATGGACATAACAGAGTATACTGTTTCGCCCTTGATACCTTCCATGCGTTGCCATTCCTGAAGACTCAGATGTTATTCCTCTGTACCTTGTAAATTCATTGCCATACCCTTTAAACCGAAACACAGCCATGCAAACACAACTGCTTCACGGTTGAAACACAAATGGGACAGAGGTACCCAAGTAACCGACTTACTGAACCAGGTGTTATTTTATGGAACTCCATATCACTCACTGGTTAGTTGATTTGAATTATTTTGTATAATTCTGCTACCATTAGCAATTATGCCACTGCTTACATTTGAGAATTGACTACTATTATTATTAGTAAAAATTCTACAACCTTCCCTTTTGGTTATCAATCTCTGACCATTATTCAGTCTACGCATGTCTTGGTACACGTGTTTCATTTCTAAACGAGGCATCTTTTGCTAAATTCCGAGCAGCGATTTTAATTAATTTAGCACACCTGCAATGCCGCTGGTGTTGTGGGTGATCATGGGCGGCGGTAGTCACTTACCATCAGGTGAGCCGCATGCTCGTTTGCACCCACTGTTGTAAAAAAAAATCAACTAACACGGTAAAATAGAGATACGTAGAGAGAAAAGGGTTCTCTCATCATCATCATATTAGCCGATAACTGTCCACTGTTGGACATAGGTCTCCCCCATAAGAGGGGTTTTGCCAGTAGTTGCCACACTTGGCAGGCGGGTAAGTAACCGCAGTTAGGCTTTGATGTTTTAAGAAGAACGCTGCTGTTCATCCCTCGAGTATTAAGTTCCTTTAGTCGCCTCTTACGACACCCATGGGAAAGGAAGGGGTAACCCGTTCTATGTCGGGATCAAACGGCAAGTACAGTTACATCCTCGTGAGGGGGAAGGGATTGTTAGTAATACGGACAACCAGTCCCATTGCTAGCAATGGTATATTGTTAGCAATATACTCTGGTATGTCTTCCTCCACGTCATCCCACCTGGAAACCATTGCGCTGAATTCCAGATGTATTAATCACTAGGGGATAACTGACCTGCCTTTTCATTCGCTCTTATCACCCCTCGCTAGTGCCCCGCCAGCGTATACCGTAAATGCAGGCGGGGTCACCATTCCTTTGTCATCCATTGAAAAAAGTATATTCTAGTACCTATACAGCAGCCTTTCCCAAAGTGGGCGATAACGCCTCCTTGTGGACGCTGCAGGCCTAAAGGGGGGCGGTAAGAGACACAGAAAAAAAAATGGGGGCGTTGTTTAGAGGCTTGGAGGGTGATTTGTTGATCTTGAAGTAATAGTGGTTTTTAAGTAGGTGAAAAAATGGGGGCGCTAAAAAATTTATTCTCAAAGTGGGCGGGCAGTAGACAAAATAAGTTTGGGAACCCCTGCTATACAGCTATGTGATTTTAACTTGCAGCATATGCAGGTAGAACCAAATGCTAGCGATCTCGTTTAACTGGTAAAAATATAAATATAGGGTTCAATAAAACTCCCTTAATGAGATCTTAATAATTATAATCATCATCATCGTCATCACCCGTCCGGTCCTCTTCACCGGCGCTGGTGATGTTGGCAAGGATGTAGAACTGGCGGAGTTTCTCGTCCATGCCACTCATGTCCTCAGTCAGCCCCATCGGCAGATCCGATGGGTCCGTTTCGCCCTTGACCAGGGACCAATCTGTCGTGCTCTCATGTGGAATCTCGCCTGTTAGACCTGAAATAAAGTGGTAATTCACCATTTATGATAATCCATTATCTTTGTTGGGAGAAGGGACTGTTAAGATTACAGGGGTGGCCAACCGATCGATCGCGACTAGTACAGTCGATCGTGGCAAGGCAAAAAATATTATATTTTGCTAATCAAACGGAAGATGCTCAGATGCATTGCTCACACACAAAAAAAAAAAACAAATAGTTACTAAAAATAAAAAATATATAATAGAAATAATAATTCCAATCGTTTTGTCGGTGAACTGTCTTATCCCAACCAGTCTGGAACAACATCTCAGACGGTTGGGATTCCGAGGCGGCTCACTCCCGGGAGAGATGCAGAAAGCGGTGCTCTTAGATTGCTCTTAGAGTGCGCTTAGATCTCTTAGACTTCCCGCATTGTACGCCGGTTTCTCTCCCTGGGGCCCTGAACCCCGGCCGACTGTACTTCTGCCGGGGGTTAGTTAACATCTCCTCTCCTTAAGAGGGGACATGAGAATTTGTGTAAAAATTGAAAAATAATAATAATAAACAAGTACATAGTTACTAAGAATAATTTTCTATTTTATGTTTTCCCTCTTAATAAAATAAAAAATACTACAATACTACATAATTGTTTACTGAACTATGTTGTTTCGTTTGAGATTTCAAGAAGTATGTAATTGGCAGATTGCACAGGGTTTCCTCAGTAAACAGTGGATCTTGGGTCTAGTCGAGTCTGCCACCCCTGTCTTATCAGGTCGACATTCTCACTATTAACTCTTCTTTGCATAATGGTGGAAATTTCCATCATAACATTGAATGCCCAAAAATTATATAAAAGAACAAATTAACTTTATTTTTTATATACAACTTAGAATGGCAAACAAGCTGATGGCCCACCTGATGGAAAGTGGTAACCGTCGCCTATAGACATGAGCAGTACCATGGACATAACAGAGTGTACTGTTTCGTCCATGGACGAATTGCACGATGGCAACGCATGGGGGGTATCATGATACCCCTCATGCATTGCCATTCGTGAGGACTCGAGGTGTTATTCGTCTGTACCCTGTAAATCGAAACACAGCCATGCAAACAACTTCTTCACGGTAGAAACACGAATGGGACAGAGGTATCCAAGCAATCGACTTTTGTACAAAGTCTCCCTCTGGTTTAAATGATTTAAGTCAAAATTATTATAAATTTTATTTATGATGGCCCATTAAACAGTAATTTCACATAACTGACACGTGACGCCCCTAGTGTTGCAGGCGTCCATAGGCTACAGTGACCGTTTACCATCAAACGGGCTGTATGCTTATTGCCTTCTTTGTGGTATAACTATTAAATTAAAATATTAGGCTAAGAAATAGATTTAAAGTAATAGTGCCTTAGAATCTACTTGATATCTGATATATAGAACCTATTTGTATTGACCTCGCGGTGATATGAAGACGGGATCATACATAGCACCCTCTAGCGGCGGGGCGGTGTATGCTTCCAGCGCTTGCTCTGTGCGACTCTCGCGTTCTTGCTTCTCCTGCTTCTGCTGGTGACGCCAAGCCTTTTGTAGATTGAATCTCTCTGGTCTGAAACGAAACAAACATGTATAGTGGGGGAAAGGGATTGTTAGTAATGGATTAGTAACCCTATTGCTAGCAATACACCCTGTCAGGTTGACCTCGCGGTTCCCATGGAATTCCGAATGAATTTATCACGATGGGCAAATTGACCTGCCTCTTCACCCTCATCTGTCATCCTTCACTGGTGCCCCGTCAGCGTATACCGTAAGCATAGATGGGATTACCATTTCATTATCATTCACTAAAAAAAATCCACAAGACATGGCACTTCTAGATTAAGTGGATAATACTCACACTTCGCCTTTATTATAAACACGCCCTTCTAAATTGTTGATGTCATGTCTCATGTCTGCGAGTAACAATAGCATCAAGTCCAAAGACCCTTCAGGTCCCCTGGGCCCGCGAGCTCCGCGCGGTCCCGTCGCACCCTTCGGCCCTTCCATGCCCGGTGCGCCAGGTGGACCCTGTGCCAGAAAATGGGAAATTGATTCCAGCTGTTGACACTATAATTTCTCCTCCTATAGGCCACTTTTTTATCACTTCTTATTAAAATTAACTGTGTGTGTTTATTATTTTTATAAACGGTGCAATAAAATTTAAATAAATAAATAAATGTGAAAGTTCGGATATTTCAAGGTAATGTAATTCGTCGCCGATCTTCCGTCGCATGAATAGGCGACGCAACCGTCCGCCAAATACGGGAGTATCGCATAACAAATCATGCAATGCAGTGTTGCCGATCTTCCATCGACAGATCTGCGCGCTGGCGCCACGAATCAGGCGCCGAGCGCTAGCATTCTCTCGACGTAATAACCGATCTTCCGGGTAGTGTATCAAAGTATGCAATTTTATGTATTCGTGCACCATCGCGGATGATCGGCGACCCAAAATCGGCCTAATGTGATGCCAATGTTAATCGGCCCGAAGGATTTCTTTGAACAAATATGTAAACAGCCAAATGTTTATAACTAGATATCTTGGGACTAACCCTCGGCCCTCTTTCACATCGACAATACCCGCCCTCTAGCGGCGCCACTGAGTCCAGTACTCTGTACGTATACGTGCCATCTGAAATTATTTAATTTATTAATTTATTACATGTAATAAACATATATATAATTATAGTTTTTTTTTGTACCATAAAGATGATAAACAATTATATATGTAATAAACGGTTAAAAAATCCTCTCCTCATGCATGTGTAGTACTAGCCATTTCCCGTGGCGTTGCTCGCGTCTATGTAGTTCCCGTATATCATTCCCATTGGAACTCTTTATGAATCCTATCTTATATTGTAATATATACTTAAATGACAATTACGTACCTAATACCTTTATAATGTTTCAGCCAATACAACTGATCGGTTATTTTATAGCATTTTATATGTGATTCTTTAGATTGATATAACTTTTTTATTTATGAACCGATTGAAATAAAATAAACACTCAGTGTTAAGTGAAGCAAACCGCAACACATTAATGAAAACCGCATTCAAATCGGTTAAGTCGTTCCTGAGATTAGCGTGCAGAAACGTTCAAACAGGCAAAAATTCAAAAAATATTTTTTTTGGGTTCTATTGTGTTCATAAAGCCCCCTATATGAAAATAATAGGTCTTTTTATATCTCTTATGTACAGACGGCAATCAATTACGATTTTATTGTATGTATTGTTTTACCGTCCGCTTTAAAAGCAGGGCTGTCCATCACTTTCTTGAGGGCGGCCTGCGTGGCGTGCAGCTGGTCGGTGAGCTGTTTCATCTTCCTCGTCAGCCAGGAGACGGTGTCGCACGTGGCGTAGCAGCGTGACGACGCACGTATCAATGGCAACGGCTCCTATCAGGGGGGAAAGGGATTGTTAGTAATGGAGACTGTGAATCCCATTACTAGCAATATACCCAACCAGGTCGACCTCCTCGCGGTTCCCCCTGGAAACTATCATGGTTAATTCCTGATGAATTCATCATGATGGGCTAACTGGCCTGTTTTCATTCTCATCTATCACCCTTCACTGGTGCTCCGCCAGCGTATCCCATTAGCGCAGGTGGGTCTACCATACTATTTTCACCCATCAAAAAAAAAAACGGCTCCTATCAATTAAATAGTTTTTTTTTAATGGGTGATAATGGTGTGGTAACCCCGTTTGCGCTATCGGTATACACTGGCGGGGCACCAGTGAGGGATGACAGATGTGGATGAAAGTAGATCAGTTAGCCTATCCTGACGAATTCAACTAGAATTAGTCTCGATGGTTTCCAGGGGGAATCACGTGGAGGTCGACCTGACAGGGTATATTGCTAGTAATGGGGCTCTTTGACCCCATTATTAACAATCCTTTTCCCCCCAAATCAAATAGTTTTAATGTTGTTTGTTCTAGTTTTTACTGATCAGTAGTTTTTTTTTATGGATGATAATGGAATACCATACCGCCTGCGCTAACGGTATGCGCTGGCGGAGCACCAGTGAGGGATGATAGGTGAGAATGAAGGCAGGTCAGTTAGCCCATCGTGATGTACTACACGTAATACACTTTGAATTCAGCATGATCGTTTCCAGGGAGGACCACGGGGAGGTCGACCTGTTAGGGTATATTGTTAGCAATGGAAGTGGTAATCCGCATTACTAACAATTCCTTCCCCCTACTGATCAGTAGTAGAAGGACGTTCTCGAATCGTATTTTATTATAATATCTTGGATAGTTCTGAATCGTCAGACATTTTCTTTTTGTTTCTAGAATATCAAGGATTTAAAGTTGGAAAAATTAGGACAATTTAAAAACAGGATGTAATAATTGAGTAGCGATAATTAAATAATAAAGGTGTGCGAATTTTAAAATACATGACCTTATCAGGACGTTGCTCAAAAACTATCTAGGATACCCCAGGACATTCTATCAAGCAGAACCTGTTTTGGAAAAACAGGACGATTGGCAGCCCTAAGTTATAGTAATTTAATTTTAAAAATATATGTACGTTCATATGACTTACTGGGATAGCAATAGGCACGGGAGGTTCGCACTTCTTCCCATCAGCGCCCACCACCATTGGAGGCAGGCACTCGCAGTGGAATGTTCCCGGGTCATTTACACAGCGCTGCTCGCACCCACCGTTGTGATTCTCACATTCATCTATGTCTGGAAACGTTAGTATAAATGTGCTAATCATTTATGATGTCCTGGTACTTAAATTAATTATACATACATACATACATATCTGTCACGCCTGTCTCCCATTAGGGTAGGCAGAAACAATGGAACGCCAAATGCTTCGATTCAAACAAACCTCTATCGCTTCTTCCACATTCATCAATCTTTTCATAATTATACTCTTAATTTTATCAGAATAATTAGAAATTATTGTTTTTTTATCTGTAAGGTTATGTACAGATAAAGAAACTGTAAATATTGGTACAGTTACTTTATCTGAACCAATATGTACAGGTCCCATAGAAGTTTTTTTAAAATCCGTTCAGTACTTTAATTTTTAAATCATAATATCTGGTGTTACCATGATTGAACAAAATCTTAAATTATTCAATTATGTCTATGTAGTCAATCCATCTGAATCCTTATAACATGAAATTTTTAAGTGTGTAATATTATGTTAGAGGGTAGTAGTAGATCTTGTGTGTCCTTCTCTAGAAATCTGTCCCATTCTAGAAAAAGAGCATACGGGTATGCGACCCTGGTTTTCCGAACCGCTGCTGTGTCCCAATTCTTTGCAGCTGCAGTGTCGTCCCCTTTCCTTTACTACATAAGTCCCTTATTCGCCTTGTTTACCAATTCCACCAACAAATACATTCCCAAAGAGGGTTGAAGTTAGGCAGACGGCCGGTCGTAAAACTATAAGCCAAATCTTTTTGTAATATGGATAAAAAACATATTCGTACAAGTAATAAAAGAATACAAAAATTATTTTATATACCGATTTGTAATTTGTATGCAAGGACCTTGATATTTTCCAACAATCCTTGAATTTGTTACTTCAAATTTAAAGTCGTCATTTTTTTAATGTATATAATATCGAATGTTATGCAGAGCAGTTATTGGAGTGCAAATTTAATGCTGTTTTATGTAATATTTATTTTATAAATGTATTAATTTGTAATCTGTTGCCTTGCTATAAATAAATAAATATTACGCCGACCCTAAATAATTGGGATAAGGTTAGGAAGACGATGATGTAATAGTATGGTAGTAGTAAAAAAGTTACGTTGCCCGCTAACCAATGCAATAGGGCTGCGTCTTCCTCCTGTAGTTCTCCGGGTGGAACTCGAAGCCCCTGTGGCACGTGCACCAGACGCGGTCGGCGCGTACCTCGCACGCCTGCTCGCACAACTTCAAACTGCACGGGTCCACGGCTTTTGGGATGCACCTTTAATATAGCAGTATGCAATAGTAAATCAAATTTTACCAGAGGGGGGAAAGGGATTGTTAGTAATGTGGTGTAATGGACCCTATCAGGTGGACCTCTACGCGGTTCCCCCTGGAAACAGTCGTGGTTAATTCTAGTGGAATTCGTCACGATGGGCCAACTGGCCTGCTTTCATCCTCACCTGCCGTCCCTCACTGGTGCCCCGCTTGCGTATTCCGATAACGCAGGCAGAGTTACTATTCCATTATCACTCATTAAAAAAAAAATTACCAGATGGAGACTTTGTACAAAAGTCGTTTGCTTGGGTACCTCTGTCCCATATGTGTTTCTACTGTGAAGCAGTTGTGTTTGCATGGCTGTGTTTCGGTTTGAAGAATGGAATATGGCAGTGAATTTACAGAGTACAGAGGAATAACACCTGGATCTTCAGGAATGGCAACGCATGAGGGGTATCATGGGCAAAACAGTATATTCTGTTATGTCCATGGTCCTGCTCATGTCTACAGGCAACGGTTACCGCTTTCCATCAGGTGGGCCGTCAGCTTACTTGCCATTCTAAGTCGTATAAAAAAATCAGTTGTTTTTAAAAATTAACACATAACGGCTACGTTGTCACATTTCATTTCCTTCCCGTGTGGTCCCGACGTAGTGTATGCCACTTCTTCCATTCCCGTGGGTGTCGTAAGTGGCGACTAAGGGAGGGCGAGGGATGGGCAGCAGCGTTTCTCTTAAAATATCTCCAAAGCCTATCTGCGGTTGCCAATCCGCGTGCCAATCGTGGCAACTACTGATAAAAGCCCCTAGGGGGTGGTCAGCAGTGAACGATTAAAAGTGAATGTGATGTCGCCACATTTCAATACAAACCCTTTTTGAAATATTATACTAATGCGCGTGCGCTCACCTGCCCGCTATGTACACGTGCGTGTCGCAGCACTGTAGCTTGATGCACTCGATGTCGGCGCCATTGATGTGGCAAGTCTGGCGCGTGCGCAGCAGCCGGTCCGTCGGACACTCCAGTCTCGTGTCCGCTCTGCAAATAACATTACGCTGTCAGCTCATTTTTACTAATGTTGTTAATGAGAAAGTGAGTTTATTTGTTACCTTATAGCGACTTATGCATGCTTATATCTTATGTGTTCAACGACTTTTGTTGCTGACTGTACCTTTAATGAATAGGTAATTGATATTCTTGTGAAAATAAGTTTGTTTGTATGTTTGTTACTGTATAGCGTCTGAACGGTTTAACCAATCACTATGAAATTTGGTATATACGTACTATGTATGATAAAGAAAGATATATATTTTTATCTCGGTTAATAAACATATCTCGGTGACGCGGACGAAGTCGCGGGTAAAAGCTAGTATTATTTATTATATTTCTTACAAGAATATTCCTCACTAGAAATTATGCGTTTTTTTATAGGTGAAAATGGTATGGTAACCTCGCCTGCGCTAACGGGATACGCTGGCGGAGCACCAGTGAAGGGTGATAGATGAGAATGAAAACAGGCCAGTTAGCCCATCATGATGAATTCATCAGGAATTAACCATGATAGTTTCCAGGGAGAATCGCGAGGAGGTCGACCTGGTTGGGAATATTGCTAGCAATGGGATTCTTAATCTCCATTACTAACAATCCCTTTCCCCCCAGAGAAGTTATGCGTTAGTGAGTGTTTGTTTGTTACCTCTTGATGCTGTAACGGCTCTACCAAACGTAGAGAAATTTGACAAGCATATGGTATTTGGGATAGAGAATTTAGAGGGTACAGAGGAATAACACGTGAGTCCTCAACAGTGACAAGAATGGGGGTATCATGGGCGAAACAGTATACTCTGTTATGTCCATGGTACTGCTCATGTCTATAGGCGACGGTTACCACTTTCCATCAGGTGGGCCGTCAGCTTGTTTGCCATTCTAAGTTGCATAAACAAAAGAGACAACATAAGGTATTCAAGTTCGGTTGTATTTTTTTTATGTTTGTTTCTTGTAATTCTGTCATAAACATATTTGGAAAATTATTTTTTATCTGAATATGCATATACTGGAATAGAAATTTTATCGAAATCGGTTGAGTAGTTTAGTTTTTAAATTAAATTAACAGGTTTTGTCGCGATTGAATTTTTATTTATACAACTATGCTGGCAACTAACTATACGGCCCGTCTGATGGCAAACTGGGTTACTGTCGTCTACGAACGTCTGTAACACCAGAGAACAACGCGTATTGCCAACCCATTAGACACCTTATACGCCATTAAGTAAATATATTTTTGTGGAAAGTCTTATGATTTACAAGTAAATTACTTTTCTTTTACCATCTGCAAACATGTCCTAGTATTACAGTATTGTGGAAAACATTAGATATCTTATCTTGTTACGTTGTGAAGGATGGGGTCGATTAAACAATAACATTGTCCTATGCGTTATATACATGGTGTAATGTACTAAGCCCAGATAATGGGGACTAATCTAAGGTGCCGTTCTATTTCTAAATTTAATATTTTTGTAAAAATAATAGAATTCTTTATTTGCTTTAAATAGGTGATAACAAAGTTCTCATTGAATAAATAAACATTTCCATATTCAGCTAATTAAAATTTAAATTAATTTAATAATTTTTTTTATTTATATATTAACTATCTGACTCGGCAATCGTTGTTTTACCATATACATTATTTCGAGAACTATACATGAAAATTTATCATACTCCATTTATTATATTCGATCGCCATCTTGCAAGCCTATTGCGGCATATAAAAATCGCGATTAAAAAACAGAAGTTGATTGTAAAAGCGTGAAAATTTGAAGTTGTATGTATTTTTCAATGCTAAAAATCATAGTAAAATAAAAATAAAAAATTTTGTCGAGAAATTAAAAAAAAAAATTTAGGGTTGGGTCACCCTTATCATTGAGGGGTATGAAAAATAGATGTTGGCCGATTCTCAGACCTATCCCATATGCACACAAAATTTCATAAAAATCGGTAAAACCGTTTGAGAGGAGTTTGGTAACAAGCACCGTGACACGAGAATTTTATATATTAGATAATTTAATTAATTTAAATTCATGCAAATTATAATTTAAAGCTTTTTAATACGACTCATCAATATCATCATCATTTCAGTCATTGTCCGTCCAATGCTGTACATAGGCCTTCCCAATACACTGCTATAATAATGGCCCTGATCTACCTGTTTCCAGTGACTCCCTGCAATGCGTTTGAGGAGGGGGGAAAGGATTATTAGTAATGCAGACTACCAGTCTCATTGCTAGCAATGTCAGGTCGACCTTCACGTGGTCCCCCCTGGAAACTATCGTGCTGAATTCCAGGTGTATTCATCACGATGGGCTAACTGACCTGCCTTTTCATGAGTAAGGCACCAGTCAAGGATGATAGGCGAGAGCCTATCATCCTTCACTCCACTTTCCATCAGGTGGGCCGTCAGCTTGTTTGCCATTCTAAGTTGTATATAAAAAAAATGGTCTTCAAAGTAGTCCAACATTAGAGTAGTTCGAAAAAACCTCTCAAACTACCTCATGCGCAAGCTTATTATAACTTTTTCAAGTCAAAGAAATTTTAATGCCGAGCTACGAAGTGCTCAGAGAGAATTGAAACAGTAGAAATCTGTTTAATACATAAAGACCCTTTTAACTTTACACGTGATCTCATATTGTGTGTGCGTGTTTGTATGCAGCGTTGCGTTGATTCGATTCGTTGACGCGCAGTGCACTCATGATGCACTCGTGTCATAAAATTAATAAGAACAAATTGGTAAATGTGTGATGATGTGGGGTTTAAACTCTTCGTGATCGTACTAGTAGAAATATGTATCCAAATTTTAGTTTTATATTATTTCTTTTCTTTTATACTAGCTGTTTTTGGCGGCTTCGTCTGCGTTAATCAGTGTAGAAATTATTTATTTATTTAAACTTTAATGCACAATTATATAAGTGAGTGTACATATGCCGGACTTAACACCTAACGGCATTCTCTATTAGTTAACCATGAGGCAAGAAGAAAAGTATTCTATCTCCTTGGTTAGGATATAACCTATCCGTGTAACAGAATCACCGATCAACCAATCACGATGGTTTCCAAGGGGAACCGCGAGAAGGTCGACCTGATAGGGTATATTGTTAATAATAGGGCCCCCCTCTATGTCGAGGCTGTTTCGACGCCGAAGAAACGGCTGCTCACGTAATCCTGAAATGTGAAGCTGTGGTCCAGCAACGTTTAGAAATCCTCGGAACGGTGAGGTCGCTCCGTGACGCCTGTGAAGATTCCAGGAAGCTTCTGGGCGGAGCTAGGTTGGCTGTACTAGCTACAACTCATACGCACAACGGCCCAAATGAGAGGCTAAGTGCGGAAAATAGTCCTATTTACATTACATTAGTAATAGAGCCCTTTATACTAACAATTCCTTTTCCACCTAACAAAATAGAGACACTGCACATGAAGCAACGAAAACAGAATTGAACAAAAAAAAAAAGATATTTATTTATTCATTTATACAACAACAACTGGGTAAGCTTTATGTATATACTCGTATATATTTATCTATTGGCCATTCATCATTTACTAGAGTGCGTTTCATCATTCACGTCTCGCGTTTCAGTTCCACGAACCAAGATCAAAGGGGAGATTCTCTTGCATCCTATTTATATCTTACTGCAATATATTATTTGAACATGAATCCATGTAATTATTAATACCTAGTAACATAAATGATCGAATAAACTCGAATACGTATAATCGATTATTCTATTAATGTTATAAATGTGAAAGTTTATAAATATGGATGAATGTTTGTTACTCTTTCACGCAAAAACTACTGAACGGATTTGAATGAAATTTGGTAAACGAGTGGGGCATATCCTAACTCAGCACATACATAAGATACTTTGTGTATTGATTCACGCAAGCGAAGCCACAGTATACAGCTAGTTACAAATATATTGATTATGAGTGACTAGGTTTGTTAGGTACTAACGATTGATCGATAAAATCGATATTATAAATAGCAGGTACCGTAACAACACTATCAATTTTATATTAATTAATCCAATGAATTGTTTTATACTATTTAGCTAAACCTCAATATAACCGTAATATATAATAATTAAAAAAAAAGAGACTTCTTAAAAATGTTTCAATTGGTTATGACTTTATATGAATAGTCGATTAAATTGCATAGATACAGTAGTTTATTCTGAGTAACCACTATCGATTAAAATAATAATCGATTATAATGCATTACTACGAATAATTGTAATATTGGTATAATTACATCATATTCTGATATATTGTCGTATGCATATGCGGTCATTGACCTTACAACTTGATTTTTGCCTTGATTCATGATGATAACGTATGTATTTATTAGTGTAATTTACATTACATTTTGCATGCGCTTCGTCACTTCACAATGATAATGCACCGGAAAAGTTCTATATTCATTGTAAATTGGAACTTATTTTTTGTTACAACTTAGAATGGCAAACAAGCTGACGGCCCACCTGATGGAAAATGTTAACCGTCGCCTATAGACATGAGCAGTACCATGGACATAACAGAGTACGCTTTCGAGATTAAAATTGGCATCTTACACTTTCAAGCATATTACAGAATTCAGATGAATTACTGCACTTAGATAAATAATTGTCCATTGCTGAACATAGGTCTCCTCTGTTAAGGGGTTTTGCTAGTAGTCGTCACGCTTGACAGGCGGGTTGGCAACCGCAGTTAGCATTTGGTGCTGTTTTAAAAGGGATTTTACTGCCCATTAGGATTATGTTGATTTTATTTATTAATTTCTGAATATAAATCGAAATAAGAAGCTATTAAATGTGAGTAACTCTGTCTCACTCGTGTTTCTTCTGTAAATCAGCTGTGCTTAAGTTTTTTATGCAACTTAAAATGGCAAAAAAGCTGACGGCCCACCTGATGGAAAATGGTAACCGTCGCCCTATAGACATGAGCAGTACCATGGACATAACAGAGTATACTGTTTCGCCCATGATACCCCCTATGCGTTGCCATTCCTGAGGACTCAGGTGTTATTCCTGTACCCTGTAGATTCACGTCATATCCCACCCTTCAAACTAAAACACAGCCATGCAAACACAACATCATTCTAAGTTGTATAAAAAAAAAAGTGTTTCATTTAATTTTATGCTTATAAATATTGATAATTTTGGTATTAAATTGTTATTTTTTTTAATTATTATATGAATGGCATAATAATTTATTTACTTAGATATTTTTCTATTATAACTGTAGAGTGAAAAACGTTACTTTTTACTAACTAGCTAAACTAACAAATGTCATGTCCATTCATTTTTATATCGATTATCTTATATATAAAATTCTCGTGTCACGGTGTTTGTTACCAAACTCCTCCGAAACGGCTTTACCGATATTTATGAAATTTTGTGTACATATTGGGTAGGCCTGAGAATCTGCCAACATCTATTTTTCATACCCCTCAATGATAAGGGTGACCCACCCTTAAAAATTTTTCGTATTTATTTGTCAATTTGTTTTATTTTTATTTTATTATGATTTAGCATTGAAAAATACATACAAAATCCAATTTTCACGCTTTTACGATCAACCCCTGTTTTTTAAGCGCGATTTTTATATGCCGCAATAGGGTTGCAAGATGACAATCGAATATAATAATTGTAGTACGATATATTTTAATGTATGGTTCTAGAAATAATGTACATGGTAAAACAACGTTTACCGAGTCAGCTAGTAATATTATACCGTTTAATTTCATTTCTCCAATTTTACTATTACGAAAAATTACAACAAAATCCCATTAAATTCGTCGAGCCGTTTTTAAATGATGCGCTTACAAACATTTACATTCATAATAACTAATCTAATATCTTGAAAATTCAGAATTCAGATTACACCATGAATAAAGAAAGAAAATAATACATACAAGACATTATTTTACGAGACTCACTTCCTGGAGTAAAATATAAAAATATTTCAAAGTCACTGCCTATCCACACTAGAGAAAACATAGGTCACTCACACATCCAATGCGTCGTCGAGATACGACCCGTCTTCTGGATGGTATCCTCTGTCATCGTAGCTGAGTACTAGGCTCGCAGCGCAGAAGAGAAGGAAGGCGGCGCAGGCCGCGGAGCCGAGCGGCGCACGCATCGCGACTGCGGGTGCGCGCGCGCTGATATGCGTTTGTACAGAGGTATTCAAAGTTTACCAGCGTTGAACACAATTACAGCTGCACGGATCACGATAGATGCATTCCTCGGAACATCTGCCCACCGTTTAACATTTGATAGACGCATATAATATATTTATAGCGAAGCATCTTTATTGTCCTATGCTTGTAAGTAGACATGCGCAGTTTACATTTAGTTATGTTATTAATAAATAGCATAGTGTTTATTCTCGTATAAAAATAATGCATTAAAAAATAATATTACTAAATCATAAATAATGAAAATAAGTAATGAAGTCAAAACCATCATTAGTTTTATTTATACTTTATTGCTAAAAAAAATTACATTGGTATATTTTGAATAAATATGTACAATAAGCGAGCATAACTGTGTTAGAGTTATCTTCTACCAGAGGGAGAATTTGTACAAAAGTTGATTGCTTGGGTACCTCTGTCCCATTCGTGTTTCAACCATGAAGCAGTTGTGTTTGCATGGCTGTATTTCGGTTTGAAGGAATATGGCGTGAATTTACAGGGTACAGAGGAATACACCTGAGTCCTCAGGAATGGTAACGCATGGAGGGTATCATGGGCAAAACAGTAAGTGTGTGTACTATTATGTCCATGGTACTGCTCATGTCTATAGGCGACGATTATCACTTTACATCAGGTGGGCCGTCAGCTTGTTTGCCATTTTAAGTCATATGAAAAAAAAAAGCAAATCCTGAGAGGAAAAGAGCATTAATTACCAGCAGGCAGTGTGCGTACAATAAGAACAGGAAACAGTATGGTTGTTTCTGCTAATAAATAATCAATATGCTTACCTAAACACAAACTAACTTATATACTTACATTTAAAACGCACACATATCTGTATATAATAATAAATGCGTATAAAATATTATATTTACACATATAAAATACGTACATATACATACACACTAATAATACGAGTAGGTTTACGAGGACAGAAGATGCTCTTTTATTCAGCGATAGCCTTTCGCGAATGCGCAGTGGAAAAAAGTTCCACAGACTAGCATAGCATGAACCGTAAATTATTTGCAAATATATATGTCCTAGATCAATTTTGAAGTTAATTTTCGTTTTTTTCGTGAAGATATCGTTTTAAAAAGATATACCTTGTGTTGTGAGGAACCAGGCGACGAGAATTAGGGAGCACAACCTAGAACACCCAGATCCGAGTCAATTTAGAAATGTTTATTTCCTTCGTAGACCAGGAATTGAATCCAGGATCTCATTTCGTACGGCATTTTTTTTATACAACTTAAAATGGCAAACAAGCTGACGGCCCAACTGATGGAAAGTGGTAACCGTTGCCTACAGACATGAGCAGTACTATGGACATATCAGAGTATACTGTTTCGCCCATGATACCCCCCATGCGTTGCCATTCCTGAGGACTCAGGTGTTATTCCTCCGTACCCAGTAAATTCACGCCATATCCCACCCTTCAAACCGAAACACAGCTATGCAAACACAACTGCTTCACGGTTGAAACACGAATGGGACAGAGGTGCCCAAGCAATCGACTTTTGTACAAAGTCTCCCTCTGGTAAATGTGCTTGTCACTACGCCACGTCGTCCAGGAAAACGAAATTATGAGACCATCCAATGCACTATCTCTTGACGTGACATACAAATACACAGCTCAAATATTACTCATAATGTCACCCATTCTCGTCACAGGCCTTATTCAGTTATAGAGTTCATAAAATATCCTGGTTGTTGGAGATAAACCTTAAATGAAATATGCGATTAACACAAACTATTAGGTAAGCAATTAATATCAATTGGCCTCGAATGCCAATTAAATTTTATAAATAAAACAAACATCCTCGTGTGAGTCACTTTTGCTAAGACAAATTCAGCTAAATAGTGTGAAAGCATCTCAAAATAATAATTTATGAACCGTAATCATTATTTCAGCCGTTAACTGTCCACTGCTGAACATAGGCCTCTCCAACTAGGGGAGTTTTGCCAGTAGTTGCCACGCTTGGCTAGTAGGTTGGCAACTGCAAGTAGACTTTGGTGATATTTTAAGAAGGACGCTGCTACCCGTACTCGATTATTAAGTTTCCTTAGTCCTCTCTTACGACACCTACAGGAAAAAGAGTGGCCTATTCTATTCCGGAAACACACGGCCAACCCATAAACTAAATGAACTGTTGTTCCCATAGTGGCCAGGTGGTTTGGTATAGTATTTTATTTGGAACTTAAATATGGAGCAATACCTAAAGAATATAATATAAAAAACTAATCCCGGTAGTTGTCGGTATGCACAAATACAGTAGGTATTAAATGTTTACAATAATATTCAGCCGTCTAGTGAGATCTACAGAGTCTTTTTATGCAACATAGAATGTCAAACAAGCTGACGGCCCACCTGATGGAAAGTGGTAACCGTCGCCTATAGACATGCGATCATGAGGCATGACGTCTATTTTACTTATCGAAATAAAAACAATCCCATCTCTCAAGTTTGAATAAATAACACAAATTAGAAAATTTTATTAAAATCTATTGAGCGGTTTCGGAGATTAACGTGAACAAACATCGTGACATTTTAAAAATATTTAATAAAAAAAAAACTATAAAATGTTTAATATATACAAAATTCAATTATTATTTGTAATGCAGTTCACATTGAATACCTATTATCTATTTTGGTGAAAGTTTTAGTACCACTGTCAAAAGTGGTTGGTAGCGCACCGTAAATAGATTCCACTATGAAAATATATTTAATGTAGGGTGGGTAAGTATTTCGGCCGTCAGGGACGTGCCCGCTGTATGTAGGGTGACCATGATTTGAACAGGACAGTGGTATATTTAAAAATATATGAATATGCTCACGATTATAATTTTTAACGGGGTAGACAGCATTTGTCACTGTTATTCTTTCAACGAAGACTGCGACGTGAGACTGTGTAGAGACTGTGGAAGGAGGGAGCCTACCGCCCGTGTTCGTATGGTCCCGGCATAGAATGGGCCATCCCATCCTTTCCTATGAGTGTTGTAAGAGGCGACTAAGTAAACTTAATAGTAGATAAATGGACAACAGCTTTTAAAAGACCATCAAAGCCAACTGGAGTTTCCAACCAGTCTGCGAAGCGTGGCAAATACTAGTAAAATACCCCTTTATGGGAGAGACTTATGTTTAGCATTGGACGACGACGATATGGTGATAATAACATATAAATAGAACTTAATTCTAATTATAGTCAGAATTCCCATGCAAATGTAAAATTATCTTACACGTAATAATTTGAAAAGAGTTGCAGATTCTTTCCAACAGTTATCTTAAAAAATTGCGATCACAAGAGCTTGTAAAATATTCGAATAAAGATTTATTTTTATACAACTTTGAATGGCAAACAAGCTGACGGCCCACCTGATGGAAAGTGGTAACCGTTGCCTATAGACATGAGCAGTACTATGGACATAATAGAGTATACTGTTCCGCCCATGATACCCCCTATTCGTTGCCATTCCTGAGGACTCAGGTGTTATTCTTCTGTATCCTGTAAACTCACTGCCATATCCCAGCTTTCAAACCGAAACACAGCCATGCAAACACAACTGCTTCCCGGTAGAAACGCGAATGGGACAAAGGTGCCCAAGCAAACGACTTTTGTACAAAGTCTTACTCTGGTAAAAGATTATTTCTGTTCTATTCTATACATAGTTATAAAAGCTGTTTGAGTATCAGATAATTCTGCGTTGAGCACGACTTATTCAGTTTCCATCTTAAATATAAGTACGTGGGGGGAAAGGGATTGTTAGTAATGGAGTTATAATGGTTAATTCCCGATGAATTCGTCATGATGGGCTAACTGGCCTGTTTTCATTCTCATCTATCACCCTTCACTGGTGCTCCGCCAGCGTATCCCGTTAGCGCAGGCGGGGTTACCATACCATTTTCACCCATCAAAAAAAAATATATATAAGTACGTTACCGGATACAAAATAGTCCTGAAAACAAATGCCGCGTGCGGACGCATTAGTTTATCTGTGAGATTGTTTGTTTACTGTATTCTGTGCGCACGCGCAGCCGGCTCACGGCCGCCGCGCCGCTCCGCGCCGACCGTTGCTCCACTGACACACTGCTGTTGTGCAACGATCAGCTGTCTATTACCTGAAACTTTTTCATAATATACATAGCAAACAAGCTGTCAGCCCACACGGTGAAAAGTAGTAACCGTCGCCTATAGTCAGGAACAGAAGCGTGGACTTTGCAGAATACACAAGAAGGCCTAAAAGCCTGTGCTGCTGGAGGGGTGGGGGGCTTGTTAGTAATGCGGACTACCAGTTCCATTGCTAGCTATATACCCTGACAGGTAGACCTCCACGTGGTCCCCCCTGGAAACCGTCCTGCTGAATTCCATGTGTATTCATCACGATAGGCTAACTGACTTGCTCTTTCATTTTCACGTATCATCGCTCACTGGTGCCCCGCTAGTGTATACCGATAACGCAGGCGGGGTCACGCTCATGCATGTCTGTGCATGGCTGTGTTTCGGTTTGAAGGGTGGGATATGGCGTGAATTTACAGGGTACAGGGGAATAACACCTGAGTCCTCAGGAATGGCAACGCATGGGGGGTATCATGGGCGAAACAGTATACTCTGTTATGTCCATGGTACTGCTCATGTCTATAGACGACGGTTACCACTTTCCATCAAGTGGGCCGTCAGCTTGTTTGCCATTCTAAGTGGTATAAAAAAAAAAATGACGCCTCAGAATCGACCCAATGTATGTATTCATGCTGCAGTCCAGTGCAGTTCCGTTGCAGTCACGATCAATTTTGAACTGTCTGAGATCGGACCGAGAACGAATCAAGACCGGAATTATACTGTCGATTTGGCCTAATGACTTCCTCAAAACTCAAGCTTAGATTAAAACTTAAGTATGTTGCAATACGTCTTTGGTCTCAAGCACTTCTTTATAAGTGTAAGTCGTTCCATATTTAAAAAGAGAATCGAAATCAGCAATAATATTTGTTTTGTCATTGATAAAGTTTCCGTTTTGTCATTGATACAGATATTTCCAAATTTCCATTTTTACTTTTTAATATGTTCGAAATCAGCAATAACATTC